GGTGTTTAATGATGAATATATATTTCAATTTCACTCAATACCTCTGAAGTCTGTAAAATTTATATAATTTGAAATCACAATGACCAATTTGTAGCTTATTTTCCTTGGCTAATTGGATAGAGAAAACTGTGGCAGATTGGCTTTGTTGTCTCCCTTGAATAGTCCCTTTATTTAACTTTTACTGACAACTATTTGATTTAATTTTTAATCATTCCAAATTATTATTAGTAACATTGAATAGATTTGGGTAGTTTTCTATTGTTTCTAAAAGGAATTTTATTTAATGAAAGAATTTATTTATTGTGTTTTAAAAGGTTTTAAATTGTTTATGAAAGTATGAAATTTATTTATATACAATATTTATCTCTTTGTTGCTCAAGTTGGCCATAATTCTATCTCATTGAAATCATTTAAATGAAAGGTCGTCACAGTTCTTCCCCAGTGTCATTAATCACCTCTAGCCGTAGATTGGCATCGCTCCTTCAGTAGATGTAAATAATTATATATGAAATTGATACAATGATGTGTCTAATGCTATTGTGACTGGTAGGAATTTAATATATTTATTAACATGGTAATTAAGAAATTACATTCGTATTTTTGTCTAAGTTATCATTAAAATCTGGTACAAAATTCAAGAAATTCAACTTTTTTTATAAAGATTTTAAAAAAAATCATAAAACATTCTTATTTATATTGAATATATTTTTAATGGTACGAGTTTGCAGTGGTACGAGTTCTGAATGGTACGACTTCCCAATGGTACGAGTTTACGCTGGTACGAGTTAACTTTTAGTGGTATGAGTTTGCAATGGTACGAGTTAACTTGCAAATCCAAATCTCAGTTTCTTTTTATAATGATATGGTGCCGTTTCCATGCATCTTCAGCCTTTTCTCATCTGATGAATTTTTCTACCCTTTCCAGTCACTATAAAATGTTACAACTTTAATTTAGACACAACACATACATAATAAATTGGAAATGGAACTGCCATTGCATGTGTAATGCAAATATATTTAAAAAAAAAATAATGTAAGAGTTGAAATTGATACAACTATCCATAAGCCAATTGACCAAAGAACGAAGATTTGCGCAATTTACAGAATGCATATGCCTGGTTCGGGTTTAAAAATAAAAGACCGTTTACAAAACTTGAGAAGCGAAAGTGAACAGTAAAAATCGACATGATGAAATATTATGAGGTCGTCAAGAAATGAACTTTGTGATAATTTACTAGTTCCCTAGACCTGAAATAATTCCATCGTCTACTTTCAAAATGCTTTTCAAATGAATGGGACCGTCTTTAACCTAAAATATATGCCATACTGAATGTTTCAGCTTGTTTATGGTGAGTAAATTATAACTGCGTCGTACAAACAACTGTTTACTTTCAGTTTGAGTTTATCGTGACTTACGATCTAAAAACTAGAGACGTTCCGAAATCCTGTTTTGGCCGGATCAGAACTCGGCCAATACGGAAAAAAAATCTGTATTGGCCGAGTTGAAATCTTATATTGCATATGCAGTTTTCATCATTTTAAGTACAATAACAGTGTAGTTAATTAATAATGATACAGTTACAGACTCTGCTGCTATAACTTTGTGAACAAAGATTCATACGCACCGCGTGGGTATAACTGTATTACTAATTTCCGATTATTAAAATCTTCGTAAATCTTGATAAAGACCAGTTTCTATCCAATGGATATCAAAATGATTCCGATTATTACTTTTTTAATGATTGTTAAGTTGAAATGGCATGAAAGGCTGACATTATTTAGGAGAACTATTTTGTCTAGCGATTGCTGATCATTGGAGGGTAAAAAGTCCAACACCATAACAAAACGGATCTATTTATCATGTATACATACCGATTGTTTACGATTGTAAGACATGTGCATAAAAGTGAAAGCTCGAATAAATATGAAAAATATAACAAAGGGATAGCTCCAAATACCATTTAATAACAAAAAACATATGGACAGGTCAAGATATCTTTTTGGTAAATAAAATAACGTATGTAAACTGGTTCCCGTCCGACTACAACACTTTAACAAAGACTTTGTTCGAGTGTAGCGTAATACAAGCAGATTCCAGTTAGTATGTAAAATAGTAAATATGAAACCGAGTGCGGTAGGCGGAGGCATAATCAACTTCCGTTAGTTCTGGTCAATGGTATCGGAAACATGCCTCTGATAGCGTCATTTTCCAAAAAAATTGTCATTTAAGGGTAATCCCTCCAATAGAGGTTACAAAGGATTTCAGCTAAATTTGACTTCTTTGTAGATCTTGTCTTGCTGATCATTTTTGCTATTTAAAGTTTCTATCTACATGATCTTCATGTATCTTTTATAGTTTTCTAGATAATACATTGTAATAGACAATAACAAAAAATTGGTCAAAATCATCATTCAAGAGCATAAATTTAAACGGCAAGAAGAAATCAGTGACAATTTCAGCCATGTTGACTTATTAGTAAATCTTGTCTTGCTGATCATTTTTGCTATTTAAAGTGTCAAAATCATCTGACATTCTGAAAACAGCCTTTTGATGTCTTTTTTAAGGCTATGCATGGTATAGAAATATGGTCACCCCTTGATTTTTCTTATCTGGCAGTAAAACCCTTAAGTTGGATGTCTGTTTGGCTGAAAGGTACATGTATGTATAAATATACAACCACACAGGGAATTTAAATATCAGTTGCCCTTAGAAGAACACTAGCAAAAACTCTCTTAGGGACTGTCATGGTTAGTTGCCTGAACATCACAAAGCAAAATCTCCTTTCCAATGTATCCTTGGTTTCCAAAGGCAGACCAAATTTCCCAACCTCCAACCTGGTTGTCATACAAATGTACCTATTTTATTGATCTGAGGACCAGGGTTGGCAAAAACCCTGGTTTTATGAGTATTGCCCAGCCCGGTGGGAAATATTGGGAAAACCCGGGTTTTACTGGGTTTTACTAGGGTAATAATGGGCAATACTGGGTAATATGAAATACTGGCCTGAATTTTAAAGAGGATTAATCACTAATGCAATACAATAAAGATTTTTATAAAATAAGATATAGTATTTTAATTTATAAGTTCACTTGTTTGAGACTCTTAATATAAAGTGTATAAATCTGAGAAAATATTAATTGTCCAGCAACTCTTATTAGACAAGTTTACATGAAGACACATAAGACAAATGTGAAAAGCTTTTCTTAATAATCCTCCTTAATTTCTATCTAATCACCATTTTGTCTTGATCATGTTGATTGGTCAAAGTGTTGACTTAGAGTCAAAGAATTTAAATCGTTTTTTTTTTTAATAAATATAACTAATATTAAGAATTAACAATCATATGTCATGTATGTAAGGAAAATTACTTTTAATAATTTTTTGTTCATTACTAAAAATGTTTACTAAGTTTTAGCATATGTTTAAGTACATCACTAATTAATAAGTAATTGTTCAGATTATAATTACACATGTATGTTTATATAACAATAATCAGCCTTTTGATTTCTATAAGTGTTTATGGCCTTTCCCCTTAGGGTGTTTATTTAGCAATATGGTTGTATAACAATTAGAATTTACAATTCACTTAAAAACTGCAATAAAATGCATTTTTCAAAGTTTCAAATTGTATTATTGAAACAAAGCTTGGAAATTAACAAGGTATCCTGAAATGAGCAAAACTTGTATGCTGCCTACATAGAATTAGTGGAGAAAAGTAAGAAATTAAAATTTAAATCTTCAGGAATGACTCTCAATCATTATCTCTATAAAATGTATATAGTTAGCTATAATACTATTAAACTACAACAAGTTTTTACTATCTTGTGTAAAAATAAGCTTGAAAAATTATATTAGCCAGTATTAACCAGTATTACCCATTTTTGGGAGAATTGCCCAGCCAGGGAAAACCCTGGTTTTCCTGCCCATGTAATACTTTGCCACCCCTGCTGAGGACGAGTGGTCTCAGTAGTTCACCTACAGTGATGACTAACCTGACAACACATTCTGGCAAGTTGCGCATGATTAAAGACTGGTAAAAAAAACAATACTGTTGAATTGATTGAGTTTGAGGTGTTGGTCACTTGAGACTTGGGAGATCTGTAGACCAAAAATTTATGATGTCAGGAAGGCATCTCAGTGAAAAATTAAAACAACCTTTCAAGACGTCATAATTATTTGGACTAGCTACATGTAGGAAAAGGAGATCTCTAAGAGACTTTGCTGTGAAGATATCTGGCACAATTTTAGCCAAGAGTGCAGAAAGAATACACCTTATAGCTATTCATTCCAATCCGGAAAAAACAGTTAATTTTTACAACTTCCTGTTTGGGTCAAGTCTTGCAAAAACAAAGGTCATCAGTAACGAGCTAAGGAAGGAAAAAGTATAGAAAGCAAACATTTTGAAACTTTGATAGATTATGATCCACTTTTTAAAAACACAAATTAAAGTAATAAAAATGCTTTGTTTGAAGTGTATGTTTATGACGGTTTAAACATTTCTCTTTTAAAAGTTTTATGCATAATACATTGTTTAAACAGGGTCCCAGATAGCTTAACTGGAAGAAAAAGTTGTGTAACTTTAGAACTTTTCCGAATTTGAATTATTAGCGATAAGGTGTTTTGTATTCTGAATATGCATAAAATATTTGCCACTGGACATTGAGCAAAAACCAATCAACATGTTCAATATCAATGATGATTCATGGTATTTCAAAACTCTAAAACAGACAGTTAGGACAAGATGACTTTATAATTTGTTGAGCTGTATCATATTATTTCATTATGCAGTATTAATTATTGTGTGTAGTACTGTTTGTGCCAATAAAATATTTTTATTTGTATATGACTATATCCATCAAAAAGTATCATGTAACCCTCACTCTGACTCATAGTTTATAATTACATATGATGACTTATATAATTTACATCATTGACAGCATGATATTTTTGACAAAATAACTTTTTTTAAATACTAGAAATGATTATATAACATGTTTACAATTTGTCTCCTAAGCTTTCAGTTTCACACGTGCACCTGTTTACGTGAGTCTGCAAAATAATATTTTACAAAATGAAATCAAAATCTGAAATCATTTTTTTCCCTCAAAAGGATGATTTGCAAATAAAAATTAAAAGATATTCCATTGGTATTCTATAAATGTATATACATGACAAGTAAATTAATATTCACGAATGATAACTAATATTTATTTAAATTAAGAAAATATCGTTTTGCATAGAAGTCTGTATTTTGTATTATCTGACAACCGGTACAACATCCGGTTAATATCGAACGCTCCTCAACGCTGTTTTACAGTAATTATTGGAAAATGACGCCGTTGAAAGAGCTGCAAGTTGAGGACAATATTCTTTTGCAAATTAATTTCCTCAAATATGCTGTAGTGACAGTTTCCTTGCCTGCTGTATCTTTGCTTTGGTGCTTCATAACGGGAATTATTTTCCAGTTCGACGAAGTGAATGAAACCGTTTGTAAGGTGAGTCTTTCGTGCAGTTAACTGGTTGATAGATTAATAATATGAGGCAGGTTTAACCTATGAAAAAGGACGAAGTCCGTATATATTATTATTAGAATTCCAGCATATTTTAATTTCTGTTGAAAAAGAAACGGAAATACGGAAACGTTTCAGATGATCAAGATGTTGGTCCTGTTGTTAGGTAGCTTTATTATAAACAGTTAGGAAAAAATATCAAAATTTTCCCTCATAAATTTTACCATCCCCTTTTCATTGCCTTCTTGCAATATTAAGCTTACTGTTTGTGTCATATATGTAATCAGAATCTTCTATAGATTCCATATCCAGTATATAAAATGGTAAAATATAATTTCTTTTTGGTGTATCCATGGCAACAATCTGCATTTTTTTGTTATAAAATGTAGCAAAAAGGGGGGAAAAGATGTCACATAGTTCCCCAAAATTTGACCAAAAGTAGAATTTCAATCACTTCAAGTAATACCTTTTCTGAAACTGTTTACATATATCTTTCAATAAATCCAATGAAAATCATATGTCTTTCGTCTCATTTTTTTGTAAAATTGCGTCAAAAACTTTGTGTAGAAAAAAAGTGTTTGTAAACATTACATTAATTTCTGGACCGATGACCGGTCTAGCTATGAAAATACGGAGAGTCAATCAGAAAATAGCCCATAAAACATGTAAAAAATAATCTCGATGTTCTTATTAACCACCTTTGAAGGCTAAATTAGTACTCAGCTGTCTAAAAATGAATTTTATTACACAATAACTTTCATATTTGAAAAATCCACCGGGGCCAAAATGCGAAACCAAACTCCTAACTGTGTATTGCTACCTTAGGGATTTCATGTCGATCCGGCCCCAAGTCAATCCGTCACAAGTCGATCAGGTCTTATATTTAAAGTTGATTTGGGCCCAATTAAAAAAAAAATTTATAAGGGATAAAAAAATACATATATAGATATATGAATTGTGATACATATAATCTTTGTGTTACCTGAAAAGAAAATTATAACAATCATGACAATTATTAGAACTTCAAAAACAGATCAAAGTTAGTAAGTAAAACTTTATTTTGATTCAGTATATTGACAAACATACTACAACATAAGCTCTAATGAGCTTTTCACCGAATATAAAAATTCAAATTTACTAGCTAATGAAAACAGTAAATTGCGTACTTACTTACAAGAATTAGAAATGATAAGACAAGAAAAATTGAGGGGTAGAATTATACGGTCTAGAGTTTAGTGGGTCGAGGAAGGTGAAAAACCATCAAAATATTTTTGTGGGCTTGAATCAAAAAATTTTACAAACAAACTTATCCCAAGAGTAGAGTTAGAAGATGGGAAAGTTGTTGTTAACCAGTTTGATATCTTGAAGGAGGTTAAAACATTTTATGAAAATTTATACAAGAAAAGGGAGGTAAATTGTTGTAAAGCCAGTGATTTGGAAAGGGATCTAAAAGATTGTAATTTAAATAAATTATCTGTAGAGGAACAGATGAGTCTAGAAGGGGAGATAACTATTGATGAAGCAAGTTGTGTTTTACAAAAGATGAATAATGATAAATCACCTGGATCTGATGGTTTTTCAACTGAATTTCTTAATTTTTTCTGGAGAGATTTAAAGTCATTTGTTGTAAAAGCATTAAACTATGGATATATTATTGGGGAATTATCAGTTACTCAAAAACAAGGGATTATAACATGTCTGCCAAAAGATGATAAACCAAGACATTTTCTTAAAAATTGGCGACCTATATCATTATTAAATACTGTTTACAAAATTGGTTCAGGAGTTATAGCTAGTAGATTTTAAAAAGTGTTATGTAAACTGATTGATCTTGATCAGACTGGTTTTATTAGTAGGCGTTATATTGGGGATAATATCAGATTAATCTATGACATTTTACAATTTACTGAAGAAAATGACATACCTGGTACATGTATATTACTTTTGATTGACTTTGAAAAAGCTTTTGATACTATTTCTTGGGATTTTCTTTATAGTGTTCTAGAATTTTTTAGTTTTGGAGAATACATTATAAACTGGGTTAAAGTGTTCTACAAAATATTTCATCTGCTGTTAATCAAGGAGGTAACCTTTCAGTTTTTTTTAAGGTAGAACGTGGTTGCCGTCAAGGTGATCCTTTATCACCTTATCTATTTATACTGTGTGCAGAAAATTTAGCAATCAGAATTCGGGGAAATAAAAAAATTTGTGGAATAAATGTGACGAGAGTAGAACATAAGTTATCACAGTTTGCCGATGATACATCATTAATTTTAGACGGAAGTGAACAGTCTCTTAATGAAGCATTAATTGAATTAGATTGGTATGCTTAACTTTCTGGGCTAAATATTAATTTCACAAAAACGCAAGTAGTTTGGATTGGAAACAAAATATATAGTAATGATGTTTTATGTCCTGAAAGAAAATTATCCTAGGGTAAAACGGATTTTACTTTACTGGGAATTCATTTTGATGTAGATTTAGATAAAATTGTTGATATAAATTATGAGCAGAGACTTCTGGTCATAAAGAAATTAATTAAAACTTGGTCTAGAAGAAATCTTACTGTTATTGGTAAAATAACTGTGGTAAAAACTTTAATTCTACCCGTCTTAAATCATTTAATAATCTCATTACCAAATCCTAGTGATGCGATTATAAAAAAGATTAATGAAATTTGTTACACCTTTATTTGGGATTCACCTGTGCACAGGATAAAGAAAGAAATATTACAAAAAAATTATTGTGAGGGAGGTTTAAATATGATCAATCTTAACATATTTATCATAGCTTTGAAATCAACATGGGTTAGAAAACTTTTTCGTTCAGAATGTAAATGGAAAAATGTATTTTTGTCAACAGTAAATAGAGATAGACTATTCAAATGTGGAAACTGATATTTATCCCAAATTAAAAATAATGTTAAAAACAAATTTTGGAAGGATATTATTGATGCATGGGATATGATTATTACTAAAGAAGAAACCCATACATGGGATCATTTTTTGTCAAGTTCATTGTGGTTTAATAGATGTATGAAAATTGGTTATAAATCAGCTTTTTATGTAGAATGGTTTAACAAAGGTATTTGTTCCATAAATGACATTATGTCTGAAACTGGAAAATTTCCCTCCATTGCCCAGTTAAAGGAAAATTTTGATATTGAAGAAAATGCTATGAAATATAACAGTATTATTTCTGCTGTTAAAAAAGCAGCAAAAATTTATGCTGTTGATGATTATAAGTTATTGACTCCATTTATTCCATCCTTTTTGAAAATTCTGTTGAGAAGCTCAAGGGGAATAAAAGATATGTCATGTATGTATTCAATACTAATCAAGAATAATTTTATATCAAATGGGCAAAGAAAATGGGATGAAATTATAAATTGTGAAAAAGGGGAATGGAAAGAAATTTTTAGACTACCTTTTGTAGTGACAAATAATACCAAATTGCAATGGTTACAGTATAGAATCAATCAGCGTATTTTAGGAACAAACAAATTATTGTATAAAATAAGAATAATGGATAACCCAACTTAAACATTTTGTCAAAAAGAAGATGAAACAATTCAACACTTGTATTTTGGAATTGTGAGATTGTACAAATATTTTAAATGAAACTAAACATTGGTTTCTTTCAAATGGTATAAGTATTCCCTCTACTATTCAAAATTGTATTTTTGGAGATACATGTATCTCAAAAGCTTTTAGTAGGAATGTGACCAACCTGATTTTTCTGCATATCAGACATTATATTTTTAGTTGTAAATACTTTAAGAGAAGACTTACATTATTTGGAGTGCAAAAGAAAATACAGGATCTTTACTGTATTGAGAAACACATTGCTGTTAAAAACAAAAAACTGGAAATTTTTGATGAAATGTGGAATATTTTCACTATATTATTTGACAGTTAAATAAATAAATGTACAAACATATAGAAGCAAACTTTTATGTTTAAATTTGACAGAAATAGGATAGTATGTTAAATTAAAATTCATCTAGGCAAAACTTTTTTTATTTTTTTTTTTCTCTCTAATTATCAGTTCTCTTCAATATCTGGTCTATAATGCAGAACTCACTATGAGTTTTTGTATCTATTTTCTTTTCTTTTTATATATATATCTGTAGGTTTTGTTATTTAAAGTATATTTAATTTTAAGCTATTTAAATTGTTAAGGAACATCCAAATTGTTATTTCTGTTATGGTATATATTTTTATTTTATTATGTCATTATAATGTGTAAATTACTAACAAATACTAATATCTGCATATATATGTTATTTATTAATGTGAACGAGGCCGGGATAAGGTAACGGTATTCAATGTATTCAATTAACAAATGTACAGATTTCAATAAAATATGATAACATAAAAAAAAAAAAAAAATAAAAAAAATTGGGTACTTACATGACTTACAGGTTATTTAAATCAAATTATTGTACAGAAAAATATTTAAGTATTACTATGCCGGGTAAATATAGAAGCGTCTATGCTAAATTTAGAGCAGGTGTTGCTCCGATTAAAATTGAAACTCGCAGATATGAAGGTATAGATGTAATTTATGAAAGGTTCTGTTTTAATTGTAGAAAAAATGATTTTAATATAATTGAAGATGAAAATCACTCCAAAGCATTTGCTCAGACATACATCAGGCTTAATTACAATGTAATTTTAAGTTACTTGATGATAACTTTTCTTAGTTTACATTGAAAATGACGTCATGACCAAAAGGTATCAGGTCGTTCCGGCCCCATGTCTAACCATCCCAAGTCGTTTCGTCCCACGTTGATCCAGCCCCATAATAAAATAATGACTAATTTATATTAACATCAGAGGATTTAGTGACATATTTGATTCAGGGTAAATGAAATTTGCTCAAAGTATCAATGATTAATGACAGCAGGTACAATGTATTATAAGTGAAGTACATGCCTAACATAATATTGGAAGAACATTCAGATGATTTATTTTAAATAGATA